ATAATTATCTGGAGGTTATAAACATTTCACATGTGAAATTTGAAAATGTTCTGATGCTTAAAAGTATTTTAATCTTAAAATCAAAAATTACTTTGCATGTTGGATAGTCAACATTCTGAAAGAAAAAATTTCATGAGAAAATCTTTAATTAAAAACTCTTAATACTTAATTTAAAAACCTGATGTTTTGTATAAGAAAGCCTTGTAATGTTTACTAAAAACCTGTAAAATTTTGTAAAGTGCACGTACATTATCAAAAATCATAGTATAATTACTCTTATGGATTCTTTTGTAGTTCCAAGTTGGGTGGATCCCACCCAGCCAATAATGGTGGGGTTAAGATGTTTGAAATTGAAAAAAGAAGAGTTACAGTGGATCTGATTGAGGTGTTTAAGATTGTCATCTTTTTTCATATTTAACAGCAAGAATAGTAGGACCAGGGGACACAAATATAAATTTTGGCATGATAGGAGTCATCTTCAGCTAAGACAGTTTAATTTTTCTAACAGGGTGGTTGACCTCTGGAATGGGTTGCCTTTAAAGTTTGTGGAGGCAGTAAATTTAAGTCAGTTTAAGAGAAAGCTTGATAACTATATGAATGATAACGGCTGGCTTTAAGATTTTTTTTAATAGTTTTAGCTTAGTTTAAAGGATGGGACAGCTGAGATGTATTAATAGGTCCATAGTTATCCCTAACTATTAAGTTATGTAATAATGTACACATCTTATATAAATTGTGAACCGTTGTGTTGTCTCCTGAAAATTTGCACATGCAGGCAAAACTCAACATTCACTTTTGAAATGACAGGAAAACAGGCATAAATAATGTTGATGAAAAATTTTATTTTGCAAGCAGGATATTCTACACTGAATTGTTAGGAATTAACCACACTTTCATTCACCTTTGAAAATGTGATGTAACTTAAAAAATAAAAAATGTAGATTTACCATACATTATTGTTGAATGGCTCTTAGTATAACTGAAATGATCAACAATTACTTTTCATGGTGGGTGGTATAAGTAGCTCAGAGCTTTGGTTCTGAGTGAAACCAAGAGTCTAACACAATTAACCTTCTTAAAGTCCATGAAATAATTTAAATTGATAGATTAACTTAAACTATTCCCATCATTGGGGACAAGTACTTTTGGTAGATTAACTTAAACATTTTCCATCACTGGGGACGAATACTTTTGCTAAATCTACTTAAACATTTCCCGACAATGGGGACGGACACTTTTGCTATATAAATTTAAACTTTTCCCACCACTGGGGACAGATACTTTTGCTATATAAACTTTTCCCACCACTAGGGATAGATACTTTTGCTATATAAACTTTTCCCACCACTAGGGATAGATACTTTTGCTATATAAACTTTTCCCACCACTAGGGATAGATACTTTTGGTTTTTTTATGATAAAATAACTCCGTAAACAGGTTACCTTTTTGTACCAACAGCATCAATTTCATCAATAAACACAATAGCTGGAGCATGTTCTTCTGCAACACGAAACAATTCTCTGACCAATTTGGGTCCATCTCCCTATGATGAAAAATCAACCATAATCCTAAATATTCACTCACATAAAACACTGGAAAAATTTAAATATTATTTTACTTAGAATAACACTTACCTCTACTTAATTAAGAGTAATTACACATACACACAATAAAACTTTTGATTTTTATGACAGTTCTAGCAAAACTGAAATTTCAAAAGTACAGTAATTTTGATATTTAAATAATTAAGTCTTACAAACTTAGCCAAAAAGAATGGTGTCTATTTTCAACTATTTTGTATATTCTCTTTTGCCTTGATTATAATCCATCTGTTGTATATTAAACCTTAGTTTTACTACAAATTCCTTCATAATTGCAGTCATTATTATATACACAACAAGTAAATATGTAAATAAATATTTCACAAACTTCAAACAACTGATACTTTTCTTGTACATACTGGTGTGAAAAAAAAAATTCAATAAGTTTCTGGCTGTATATTTAGATCCATGGTTAACAAATCTTTTTTCATTGTGTTCAAGTTTAGAACTAACCAGCTGTTCCTGGCTGTATATTTAAACCCATGGCTAACAAGTCTTTCTTCACTTTATCAAAGTTTAAACCTATGACCCATCTATGACGATTGTATTCTATTCCTGTCTGTGTATTTAAACCCATAACTAGCCTCCTCTGACTGTGTTCTACTTTAGAGCTTACCACCTGTTACTGGCTGGGTATCTAACTTCATAACCAGCCTCCCTTGATTCTGTTCTACTTTAAAACTTACCAGCTGTTAATGGCTGGGTATTTAAACCTGTAATCAACTTCCATTTATTGGGTTCTACTTTAGAACTTACCAGCTGTTTGACTGGGTATTTAAACCAGTAAACAACCTCCCTTGATTTTATTCTACTTTAGAACTTATCCAGCTGTTAGTGGCTGGGTATTTGACCCTCTCTTCATGGACATCTTTTTCTGCACATGTCACAAGGTTTTAGTGCGTTACATTCAAAATTTAAATAAACTACTTTTCTTTCATGGTATACCAATAAATATAGCATGAAAATGTAGCTAATAATCCATATTTTAATAGTATATAAGTTTTAAATTCTTATTTTTATAACACAATATATTAAAAAAATCTAGAATTTATCCAAGTGTGAGAATTGTGACATTCGCTCTCTTGGCATCCTCTCTTCATTAATTTATTTACTACCCATCCAAGAAGTATGAATTTTAATGTAGATTACTTATTATAATATCATCATCACTCATGCAAAGCATAAGTTTTATAGCCTTCAATTTTATTAGAAATAGACAACTAGACCCTTCTTGCCATGCCCATCTGTCACATCCTCTCTTACAGAAATTGCTAATAGTTCTCTCTGATGTTCAATACTATAATATATATATATCCAATAGAAAGCCAAGGTTTTCATCTATCAAGTGATGTATATTACATTCTTTTCTGTAAAGAAAATTGTCAATTTCACTTTCAGTTCAAGCTTGATTCTCATGAATTAGGTGAAGTTTTAATGGCTCCTGTCACATAGTTAGAAAGCCAGAAAAACTGTGATAGTTATTGAACATTATCTGCTTTTTGAACCCTATTAATCTGTGTTCTTTGATACATTATTTAATTAAATAAAAATTATTTAATGTGGTGCTACCATTAGTATACAATAGTAGGGTTAAATGTCGTTGACAGCAAAAAAAAAGAGAGAAAAAAGATGACCCAGGTAAATACCTTTTTTGTTTTTCATGTGTATTCTTTATTTACTATTAAAAATGTAAAAGTATGAAATTTTTTACATTAGTTAAGGTTAGATTAGGTGAAATAAATAATAATGTAATAAAATTGTTTCACGAGGTAAGCTTGTTCGTAATGTAATTCAATAGCGTAACGTGAGCTGCACATTCGCCATGTGATTTACAACTTATAATGGTGAGAATAGTAGTTAGATACAGTTCAAAGGCAATAAAATTTAAGTATAAATAGGTGTATACTGTTACGAGTTTAAGGCTAATTAGAATAAACAAATGAAAATAATTGTTTCTAGATAGAAAAAAAACGGTAATTTACATTTATTTTGATTTTTCTCTGTGGTTATGAAATCAGACAAATTGACCAACCTTGTATAAAGTTAGGGTAAAGAAAATAACAGATAAAATATAGTTTTACTGAAACAAAAACATTTGGAATATATTTAGGAGGTTTGAGGGATTATGCAAATGAAATTTGAGATTTTTTTTTGATAGAGAAAAGTATTCTTAATCATAATGTCAAAATCACTTAGTACTCGGACAAGTAAATAAAATACTATATACATATAATCACAGACAAATCTTTGATAAAAATACTTCATTACAAAAGCTGTTTTTATTGTGTACAAAACACTTGTAATGTTTACTAAAAGTCTGCAAAATTTTGTGAAAATACACAAAGTGTATTAGAAGTTATAGTGTTGAAACTATAATGAAGACAAAATGGTTACAAGGTTGGTTGATTCGACTGACTTTGTAGAGAAAGTGTTAAATCCGTAACCAACTTTCCCTGATTGTGTTCTACTTTAGACCTCACCAGCTATTACTGGCTGGATATTTAAACCCATAACCACCAACCTTTACTAGTTGTAATCCACTCTATAATTTATCTGCACCTTTACTAGTTGTAATCCACTCTAGAATTTATCTGCACCTTTACTAGTTGTAATCCACTCTAGAATTTATCTGCTGTTCATGGTTACGAGTTTAAGCTAACAACTAACAGTCTTCCAGAGTGCATACCAAGTCTATAACCCATGAACAATTCATATTTATTTTTCAAATTTGACAACTCATTAAGTCTTTCATTTCTAGAACTTATCAACTATCCTATGTTTTAAACACTTCAACTCACAAGGTACTTTTGAATGAGTTCAGAACCCACAACACGAAGAAAAGTTGCTGAAGTCTGGTTAGCCACAGCTTTTGCTAAGAGGGTTTTTCCTGAGGAGAAAATAAAAAACAGTTAACAGTCTGCAGAAAAACCAAAATAATTTAATACTTAATATTTTCTTAACAGTTCAATCTTGTGAAACAAAAGAGAATGTCCTTTAATAACTGTCTTTACATCATAATGGTAAATAAACTAAATATCTTAAAAAAAAGTGGTCTGGGAATACATGTATAACAAATTGTATTAAATATTAATATATCAGATATAAGAACCCTATCACATATACTTGCCTGTCCCTGGTGCACCGTACAAAATAACTCCTTTTGGAGGTTTAATGCCCATTTCCTCATAGTATTCCGGATGAGTAAGAGGCAGTTCCACTGATTCCTAGATATACAGGTTATATTTTAATTTTTTCTCTCAATACAGTAATTTTTTTTGGATTATTTTCAGAAAGCTCACATCAAATTAAAGAAGTTTAAATTTTACTTCCAAGTATATCAATGCTTGTCAGAGGATGAATAAATGTTTATCAATCTAGGTACATACAGGACCTGAGTTTTTTGACCCACACACTCAAAAGTTTAAAGAAAAGTGGAATATGTACTTTTACACGTTAAACTTCATACTAATACATTTTTAACTTTAGAATACCTCAAAATTAATCAGCATAATTTATGTTATATATATTTTAGAAAGTAGTTAAGGCATCTAATAAGCTACATATAACAGTAAATGAGTTATTAGCATTATATATAAAATACTTAGTAAGCAGACATTTCAAGTCACCTTGATTTCTTGGATCTGTTGATCTAGACCTCCAATGTCAGCATATGTTTCCTGTGGAGCTTTCTCCAGTTTCATGACAGTCACCATAGGATCTGTGTCATCTGATAAAACTCCAACAACTGCATGAACCTAGGTCACATAAAGATCAGCCCATTCTGATTTCAATTTAATGATATTCCACTGAAAAATTTCTAAATATATCTCTCCTTTTTCCATTTAGGATTCTCTAATGGACATTATTGAGACAAATGTTTCATTTACAACTTGTAACAAAAACATTATACAAAAAATATAATTCAAGTACAAAGAAAAGTGAAATTGGCAGCAACTACCTAGTTCAGCATGACACTTACGAAGAAAGTCTTGGAAGACAAATCTACAAAGTATCACAGATGGAAAGGACACCATTTATAAAGACTTCCATCTTGCACCAGTTTTTGCAGGGGTTTATATCCAATCCAGGAGGATTGAGGTATATATGATGTTATTGGTTGATAGTTCTTGTAATGTGATTGGTGGGATATTGTTCTTACCATCTGTGCTACTTTTGTAGATACGTTCTCCAAGACTTTTTTCACAAGTGTCATACTGAACTAGGCAGTTGCTAACCATTTCACCTTTATTTGCTCATCAGAAAGACTCTGCTTAAATAATTGTTAAGATATGTGAAAAAAATTTACCCATTAATAGGAGATAACATACATCTAATTCTCCTTCATTTTAAAGGGTGCAAGTGTATATATATATTCCAATATTTACTACTTATGGCAACTTGATGTCACTTTAAATTACAGACAGATAGTAATGGTTAATTTTGAAAAGAAGTGTAAAAATTAAAAGTTAAGGAACAAATCAAAACACCAGCATGCATAAATTTATGTTAATGAAACTAGTCAGAAATCCTTGGCAGAATGATAAATCACATAGACAGCAAAATAATCTTGGACTTTTAAAATAAATGAAACTAGAATAACAGAATTCAGGTGGCTGTGATGAGTTACTCCCTAAATTATCTTGCATAACTCACAACGTAGCCCATTTGAAGGCCATAAACCAGGCTACTAGCACAGCTACATAGATTAATAGGAAAAGGAAACTGGACTAATGTCTATAAATAAGCTGAATGTAAAATTTATCAACACACATTTATACAATTGTACATATAAAATAAGTACATCAGTATCTTCAGATAAATGTGTACACATATATACTTCTTTCATACTTAGAACAAGTAAGTTATGTAATAAATATTTTACAGTATGTTACACACTATAACTTGTTTTCATTAAAAATTTTGAAGATACTTTTTACAAATAAAACAATTGTTAAAATTAAAAGCTATTATGGTCTTTGAGAACAAAGGTGATGAAACTACATTTTTAGAATTGAAGTAATATTACAGGATAAACAGAGCATGTATATTTGTAAGGTGTGTCTTACTACTCGAGCATTGGCACCAAGTATGAAGGTGTTTGTTTGTTATGGATTTCGTGCAAAGCAACACAAAGGCTATCTGCACTAGCAGTCCCTAATTTAGCAATGTAAAACTAGAGGGAAGGCAGCTAGTCATCACCACCCACCGCTAACTTTTGGGTTACTCTTTTACCAACGAATAGTGGGATTGACTGTCACATTATAACACCCCCACAGCTGAAAGGGCGAGCATGTTTGGTGTGACGGGGATTCAAACCCGCGACCCACAGATTGCGAATCGAGCATCCTAACCACCTGGCCATGCCGAGCCATATGAAGGTGTTATTCACAATTTTCAATATCTTGATTTATACATTATGGAATGTATACACTTAAATTAGGCAATGATTAATAGATAGAACTAGCCAAATTTTACCTAGCTGGAATAGTTCTGGTAACAATAGTAAAAATTAGCTTTTATACAATGTAATAAAATTTACAGGGTCATGATAATAACTAAAGTCATTATTTTGATTATCTGCAAATGTATAAAATTCTCTTTCATAAGATATTTGTAATGGAGATCATAACATAGTAAAAAAAAATATTTGTAAGTAGTAGACCTTTAAAATATTTATAGTAACAAAAAACATCCCTTATATGCAGTGTAAGGTACATAAAACTTTTTTGCAGACATCCATGCCTCATAACATCAGTTTTTGTAGGAAGGGAGTTGATCTTCAGCAGTGCTACCTTATTCTTTAAAATACCACACTGTATAGAGATTGAAATTCAACTCCTTAATTTTTGAATATGAAAAAAACAACCATGTTTGATGTTTCTGTGTTTATCATAGAAAACCTAAATTTAGTTGCCTTACAGATGAAACTAACTTACCTTGTGATTTAGAAGTACAGAACATCCAGGTTCTAGTTGATCCTTATCAACAAAAGAAAGTATACTAACATAGTGTTCACTCCCCACAGATGTCGACACAATAGCATGGTTGTCATCTATGATTTCCTCTAGGTTTCCTACTGACATCGGTGTACCTCTGAGATCATCCACCTTGGAACGTTCCTCCTATAAAATCACAGTAAATAATCCAACAAGTAAATTAAGTGAAGTAAAAACTCTCATTCACAAGTTTCTACATGACATTTACTTAAAAATACTGTAGACAAGCACTAATTTGAAATAGAACTGTATATTTTTATCATTGTAACTGGAGGAACTTAAAACCAATAAAATAACATAAATTTGCCTGCAGTTACACAGAGTCATGCACCAGACAGGATAAAAAAATTCCATGACCTTCAAGTTTTTGTTCATTTTCCATGACTTTTTTACTATATCTTTTGACCATTTTGAACTTATAGGTGAACAAAATTGACAACACTTGACATGTAATTGAGTAACTTTTATTTTTGAAAAAACAGCATAAGAAAAACAATGAAAAAGAAATAAAAGTAAAGACAATACAAGTAGTAAACAGCTTGCTATATTGGTTTGAATTTTCCTGTAATAGATTTTCTAAAACTTTCACCTCACAATCAGCAGTCTCAATGCCACTTTTCACAAGGCATTCGATTTCACAAACAACATGATCTTGTTACAGTTTTTGGCCTCTTCAGTCAAATAACTGGACTTCTCCAGGCTTTTCAGTCAGTAAGGAGACTTTTTTTTTTCTTTCTTAATAAGAACATCCATCTCATCTTGAACATTCTTGAGTTTATATTATTTCTTTACATTTTTTCTGCTGCTATAGATATATATATACATGGTATCTTTGCATTGAAATGTACATGCCAGCATAGCTTTGTTAACACTGATCTCATGAAGGAGCACATAATCTTTGACAAATTCAATTATAATGTGTTGTCCAAAAAATGACTTTTCATGCAAAAAAAAAAGCCCCTTTCAACACTGGGTTGGCCATGAGATAGAATTAGGAATCTTTTCACAACACTCCACAACTGTTGGTACTCACTTTTTACACCATGTGCTCATAAAGCAAATGATCCATACAGCCTGTTCTGTAATGGAATAAGGAAGAAAATGGGTAGAGAGTTTAATGGGTTTTTTCTATTCGGATCTCAGTGAAGATTGTTTAGCTGTAAAATTTAACATCAACTTTTTTTTCCTTTTCCCTTACAAATTTGGCCACTGTTAGTATTTCTTAATGTTTAGAAATTGTAAAACTACTTGAAAATAATATTACAAACACAAAATTACATTTATTTAGTTTATGAAACTTATAAAGTTAACATGTTACTACTGTCATCTGAATTTAACTTTTTCTAAACTGAAAATGTATTTCCAATAGATACTTCTGCTCACAAAATAGCTTTTCTCAATTAGTACTGCCCTCTATCAGTGCAAATTTTCAATGCTCACTACTAGCCTTCCACCTCCTGCTTCTGCATATCCACATGCAAGTGATTATGCAGCAGCTTTCCACCAATAGGAGCATGACACAACCCCTATTATAACCACCACCTTCTCCACATTTGCATTTGTTAATCACTTGTCAAGATTAGTCAGAAGTCCCACACCACACATCACTGGAAGTGGAGAGGCTGAGTGGGAAATGTGAGCGGAGGTAAGTATCAATTGGAAATACATTTTCAGTTTAGGAAAATGTTAACTTTCAATATGATATCTTACCTCCACTCACAAAATAGATAAAATCCCACACTGAGCTGGTGGAGGGCCAGTGAAAAAAATGACCCCTTTAAGGAAGTGCTCAAAGAGAGACCATGAGGTGTGGAACCAAAAAAGAAAATATCAAACCTCAATGGGAGACTGATCCACATCTGATCCAGGTATACTCTTCACTCTTTTATGACTGTGTCACAAACATAAAAGGCAGAAAAACATGAAGGAATTACAAAATACATATTACCAATTAATTAATGGGGCTCCTGTGTTTAGAGTGGATATGGCACAACAGACTAGTGTTAGCTCTACCTCATCCAGCACCTGGGGGTATCTGGTATTCTGTGGTGGGCAGATGATCACCTACTTCTTCACCTTCAAATGGGATTTGGTAGGGAAGATGAGCTGCCATACCAAAATCTGTCTGCACTTGCATGCATTTCCAACCCAACCAACACCTGATCCACCAAGAACCAACATCCAGTGGATGGTAGAAAGGAGGAAAGCCCTGGTGGGATAACATCTCCAGTCCAAAATCTGGCAGCATATAGTATGGTTCTTTCAATCCGTGGTAGGAGGAGGATACCTAGGCTGTACACAAGTGGGAATACATGTGCTGCGTCCAGCTACAATCAATACCAGATCCACCGGGGATTGACATCCAGCAGATGGTAGGAAGAAGGACCCCAAACCTGGGGTGCATTTCCAGTCTAGAACTTGGCAGCATTGGGCATTTTTCATCCAATCCACAGTAGAAGGAGGGATACTGGCCAAAACACGTACAAGGGCTTACCTAGCTGGACCATCTCCAACCAACACCTTGATCCCCCTGGGAACAGCATCTGGAGGATGGTAGGTAGGATGAACATCTGAGCCTGAGGGACAAACTGCAATATATATAGTCCTGATATGGCAAAGTGCTTCAACCAAAATCTGGCAGTATCTGGAATTGTACATCAGGTCCACGGTAGGAAGTGCTAAACACCACTGACACCCACAGAATGTCACCACCCTAATCTCAAGTGAGTGGTATGACGCATCTCTCAGGAGGACAAGCCTTCATGGTACACCACCCCAGTGGCTAGGAGCTGGTAAATGGCAAGGACTCCCATACTCCACTAGAAGAAAGGAATGCATCACTAGAGACAATGACCTCGATACCCAATTTTGAAAAGCAGAGCTACTACATTTGTGAAGTCAATCAACCAACACCCAATGGCATCTGGAATTGTATGTCAGGTCTGCAGTAGGGTCTCAATGCCATGGAGCATCAGATATTAGCCGCAATCCCTGCCTACTTTACTCATGTGTGTCTATGAATGTATGGTCTGGGACAAGCATATTTAAGAAGCGAAAGACCACTAGAGAGAGATACTAGCAGTCCTATGGAGTGAATAACCAAATCCTGCGATGTAACCATTTTGGCATAAATGACAATTGAATGGAGGTATACAACCAACACCTGGTGGCATCTGGAATTGTCATCAGGTTCACAGTAGGAAGAGCTACAACATAATTGACATTGATCATGGTCACAGAATGGACAGTGCAGATTTTCAAAAAAATTATTCTTGGTCAGGTACCACTCACAACAGAGTGGGATCTACAATATACTAGCAAAAAGACTCCAGTAAGTAAAGTAATAACAAAATCACAGTAAAGAAAACTAAGGAAAACACTGACAAGTTTGTGAGTAAAAAAAAGCATGTCTGTACAGTACTACTGCCAATTGACAAGTGATTAACGAGTGCAAATGTGGAGAGGGCACTGGTTAAAATAGGGGTTATGTTGTGCTCCTATTGGTGGAGAACTGCTGCATAATCATTTACATGTGGATATGCAGAAGTGGGAGATGGAAGGCTGGTGGTGAGCATGGAAAACTTGCACTGACAGATGGTAGTACTAATCAAGAAAAGGTAAGATACTGTATTGGAACTAATACTTATGCTCAAATACAGTGCACTGTTGCTATTTGGTCCAGGAAGTTTCATATATTGAACCAGCAGTGACTTTACATTAGTAACACTGTTATTCATTACTTTAACAGATAAATAAAAAATTGGGAATTAAAAACCTTGGAAATATGGATTGTTAAAAAAAAAGTAAGCAAACAAGGCTGGAGATATTGCAGACATTATTTACTGAAACTACAAACCCCCTATTTTCACTCCATGCTGTTACTTAGAATTACAGTTGATGGAGTCAAAAATAGTGGTTTGTAGTTTGAGTAAATAATGACAACATATTTTTCCAGCCTTGTTACCTTACTTTTATTACAATCCCTATTTGCAGGTTTCTAATTCACAATTTTTTATTTATCTTGTTTGCTGGCTTTTTTTATGCTTGGCTATGGGCAAAGGATTAAGTGATACGGTAGCTAACTTTATACATTGGAATTATAATAAACATAGCTAGTAGCTAGCTGATACAGTTCATGATGATTTACTGTAGCTATTGACTATTTGATTGCATTAGCTCGAGATGTAAAATGTTAAGCTGCAGCTGGAGATCGTCATAGAGATTTTTTTTAGAATAGAGCAAGCATTTATAGTTTCTGTGTAACTAAATTCTCTACATATAATGCATAGAAATGGGCAAATATATGCCTAGATTAAAACACAACCCCAACTAAGCATGTATAAAAGTTTACCAGTAGAAAAGCAGTCTTTTCAAATAAAACATATACTTCTCAAACATTGCTTTAAATAAACCTTCGTGTCTTTTAAAGTAATAATTCTACGATTGTATGTAATAAGATTTACTATTACGTGTATATATTTTTTTTTTACTCCTTCACTTCATACATAATATAGGGGTTGGCTCCCTAAAGATATTGACTGTGTAGTGTATAAAGCATTGAGTATCTACACATTACAGTCATCTAATGTTCATCTATTATTAGCTGGTAATTCCTGTTTCACCCTGTAGTTAAGCTAACTTCAAGGGGTAATGATAACATCATTTATACTAGAATTATGATGTTTTAGCCTATGTAAAATATAGAAGAAACAAATAGACTTGTCAACACCCCTACAACATTTGCAGTACCTTATTTAGTATTCTACAAAAGGTTTGGGTGGAATATACAAAGTTTTTGTTGTAGGCTGGCAAGAGAATAATAATAAGAAGAATTACAAACTGACTATTTTGAACAAGTTTTCTTTTCTTTCTTAAGTCTAATATACATACTTTTTTGTGCATTTTTATATGTGTACAGCCTTAGCAGGCAATAGTAAAGGATTTAAAGTGCTGTTTAAATTGAATCTTTACTGTCTAAGGTGCTTTTTGCCTGAACGTTGTATTACAGTTTTGTGCAAATCGTTATGAACCCTATTATGAACCTCTATCATGGTTCATGATATGTTACTCAGATGACATATGATTTTTATTTTAAGAGTGGTTTCACCCATACTGAAAATATACAGTGATTTGTGACACAAATGACATTGAGCTTCACTTATTGATGATCATGATTACTCAAACCACTGTTCTGGATCAGCCATGGATTTTGAACTTTGCATGTGCCAGCCATTTTTACACACCAGTTGTCCTAAGAGAATCTAAGCTCTTCAAACACAATGGCAAAATTCTGCTATCTTCAATAACACTTGGATTTTTCAATAAGTCAAACTAACTGAGTTTTAGTTTTTTTCACATCAAAAAGAATCATGTTTAATTCACTACAAGCTATATTTTATTTAATTCTTACTTACAGCTGTCAATATTTCAAGGACCTAAGCTGTAAAGTTTTTACTTGCTTTCTAAATTGTTATCTACAATAATTCCGTACAGATTTATTATTTTTGTTTGCAGCCAAAGTACACAAAATGAAAATATTAGCAGTACATCAACCAGTCCATTGCACTGGTTAAGCCAGTTACACCTCTCATGCTAACTGCACATGATCAAAACAGCCATGCTACTGTAACATCCAACTTGTTTTTATATTAAAAACAAACACTAATCTGAAAATTTTTAAATTGTTATGAAATGGAAACTGAGAAGCTTGAAAATTAAGATGAACTTGTACTGTGTATCACAAATAATTTAGGTGGAAAAATCCCCTTTTTTTTGAATTCCTCATCTTTGTATCTGATTTACAGGGCCTTAACAAGACCAGTTTATATATAAACAAAAATGCTATTGCACTATACTCCAGTCAGCATTGCATATTAAAAAATCATTTAAGCACTTTGTTTACCAATGACCTTTAATAAAAATATTTAAAATCAAATGATAATGCCAACCTCATGTTTTTCTTCCTGTGGTTTTAATCTTTCTTGATTCCTGAGAAACTCTTCTTCCATGAGAAGGTAGTCTTTAATTCTCTCCAACTTGAGAAGTTTTAACCTACATCTTGTATGAGGGGTTACTGATATAAAAAAAGGGACAATAATCACACACACAGTATGAAGTAAGACAGTAGTTCCACATGATATACTTAATAGATATAAAACATAATCTTACAGGTCAAGATCTTTATCAAATGGACTGATACACATTTGTTCCAAATAATTTATTTAAAAGCTGTGAAAAAAACAAAAACATTATGTGATCATCAATACCAGAAGCTTTATATTATGCTTTATGCTTGTATAGACACAAAGTGACTGTTCAAGCAAATATTGTAAAGACAGTTCCCAGGACAATGGAAAAAAACATGGTATATAAGTTTATTAGACATCCAGGACTCTGTCGGGTGCAGCATTTAAAAATATACTAGTATGAAATACTCAAGTACCACTACATGTTCGAAAGACCCAATGTATAGGTTAAGCTCTTCCATTATTCCCAATTACTTACTTAGCTACCCCATGAGGAGAGGGTCCCATACCCAAAAACAAACCCCCATTAGAACACCTACTACTTGATACTTCAGCATGTGGGTCATATTTGATCCTGCTACCTTATGAGTAGAAGTATAAAACAGTAACACAGTGCGGCCAGTAACACAAAATATGATACCAAATTTGGGTTCAACAACCCTGAAAACCTTCTCCTAGAACTCTAACATGACTGGTTGAGCTTTGGGGCATATTCTATCCCCTCCTTAGTAGAGGGGCCATGTCATATAAGTAAGGACACTCCCGCACCACCCTGAGCTTGCCTGCCAAGTTTGATCCTTCTATCTCCAAAACTGTGAAAGGAAATTTTGGTTAAGAAAACAAACACGACTGTACAAAAATAATATTTTCTAAAACAACCTAAAGTTCATTCATTTGTTTAAACAAAATATAGAAGGTATTAAATAGGAGTTGTCCAAGTATCATACCTAGGGGTAATTTGCTAGCAGCTTCTGGACCCTTGGTTTTTCTCTTCTTCTTTCCCACTCTGGTGGGTACTGGTGGTTCATACTTTCTTCTCTTGTCCTTTATTAAAATAGAAAAAAAAACTAGAAATGTTAATATATTTTAAATGTACAAAACAATTAACTTTTTCAGCATGGGCTCAGTTCCTAGGACCGACCTCATAACCATTTTGTGCTTGTTATAGTTTTCATGCTATAACTTTTCAATTAGTATGTTGCCTATCTATCGTGCAAAGTACTATTCATTTTAAGATTAGAAATATTTTTATACATCATAAACTTTTGAAATTTCAAATGAGAAATCTTTATAATGTTCAGATAGTTATCAAACATTTCTTAAGAAAAAACTTTATATTTTTATCTTTATTTTCAGTGATTAATCTCTGTACAGGTTTGGTAAATTTGACCACTCTCGCAACCACCATAAAAAATTAGGAAATAAACATAAATTATGCCTCTTTCATTCTAGAATGAACACAAAAACATAAATTTTTAGACTAAATAGCTTAAATCTCATAATATTATACATGTATATATATTTATATTGACCTTTCAACCTTGCCTGGCTAACAATTGAGAAGTTACAATGATGAGGCTCACGTGCACTCATGTTACCATATCAAATAACATAAAATTGACCTTTGGTCTGTTCAAAGTAACTTGTCTTGGCTGTGTTTTAGGAGACTAGTATTTTGTGAAATACAGTCAAAGTTCAATTATTATACACTATATTTGTATATAGATTATTGTTATTTTGAAATAAGTTCTCAAACTTATTTTTCTTTAAACATAGAACAGTAACTAGAGAAGTAAAGCAAACAATTATCTCGTCTAGTTACGACCTTTGTACTCAGTTGCTGCTTGATGTAGGTTGCTAAGCCTTTAAAAAAATTGTACATGTAGGATATTAAACAAAATATTTTTTTAGATTTTATATATACATTTGAATAACTAGAAAATCACAAATTACTACATTAATACCATAGAATTACACTATAGCTTAATAACTAAGATGTATTTTAGTCTAAAAAAATATGAAATTTCATGCAGACTAAAGACACACCCTACCTCGTTGAAATATTGGTTCAAAAGAAAGAAATGGCGCCAAGTCTGTTAAAATGCCTGAGAAAGCCACTAGGGAGACATTTTGAACTTCATATTGGTTATTCATGTCATATATATAGAAGTAAGTGTATATAAGGGAGTTTTTCCAAAAATGATCAATATCTTAGCAAATTGAAAAGATAAGAGGCTCTTATTTTATATTCTAGCTTTTCAATTTCAGTAAATAGAGTTTCTAATTCATTCAAAACTATAGACTTAGTATTTTGACTTCACAAACATCTAATTTGAACCAGTGCTGTTTTCAACATACCATGTGACACACACAAAAATTGGTGTTTATCTGTTTTTTTTAATATTTGCTTTTAAATTAAGAAATTGAGTAATATATAGTACTAAAATTTGAATTATAATCTACAATTTGATAACAAATTTATTGACATAAATTCATGAAATAGTAGTTCATTAAAATTTTGAATACGAGTCAAAAAATGCAATGACATGGCTTTTCACCTGTGACCCATCTGGAAAGGGTTAAGAGGAGAAAGACATTTTATGAAAATATTGTGAACTAAGCTTTCATTCTAAAAAGTTATTTTATTAACCTTTCTTTAGACATCATGATTTTAATCTAAAACTGGACCAATAATGAACTCTGTTTTACAGATGGCTGTTTGCAGAATGAACAGCCTTTAGTTCCAAATTACAATTCTGATTTCAGAAAATAAATAATATTAAAAAATACCTGTTATGGAGGTAAATGTTAAAGTTCATATATGGTTATTATGTTAGTATAGTTCCTCATTACATGTGGGGAACTATACACCTAACTCTTACAGAAGAAGAATATTTATTACCATTCATAAAAAAATTGCAATATTAATTACTTTACTGGATCAAATCAAAAAACAATAATAGTTAAACCTCTTTCATTCTATTGGAACTAATTGTAAAGCATGAAGTAATGAAAAAATCAAACATTTTTTCATATATAATTTCAATTTAGAATGAGGTATTTAGTGTTTAAAAAAAATCATCAAGAAAGTCAGTTTTTGTTCACTACCTGTAAAAATAAAACTACAAAAAACCTTAGTCAGAAAATGCCAAATGAGCATCCAAGTAGTAAAAACATATTTCCAAGTTCATTCCTAACCACTTTAGAGAAACAAGCTGTCTAAGGAAAGGTGAAAGAAAACCTAGCATAGTAGATGTAGAAGTTTGGTGTAACATAAATATAAACAATATATATATTTTACTACTGCATTTTGTAATATAAAAACAAGATACAACTTTATTATGATGTGATCAAAATCAGTTATTCAAGGAACTCTTCCAGACTTACAGAAGAAGTAACCAGTTACTAATATTTCCTTGGATTATGCAGGCACTCACTAAATTTGAAAAATTATTTCTTATTTGGTTCACCAAAACAAAAAGGGTTTTTGAAAAGTTTTTACATTCTATTTTATTGCTGACTATATTGCTTAATTTGTGGTTATGCTATTAGTCACACTCAAACCAGCCTCTTATATCAATATTACAGAATCCTGCAAGAGGCTGGAACACAACAATTATGTATCCAATAGTTACATAAGGTTGTTAACACTCTTCAAACACATTGTTCTTCATTTGACTCCTAACTTGTGTTTGGATAAACTTTTATTTCCATGACAATGCCAAACAGCTTCATTTACTATAACACCAGCTTAATCCCAGTATTTCTCAAATAAAAATAGTTTAATCATCAAATAGAAAGAATCAAATGAAGAAAGAGGGTATAACTTTAAATATGTTTTGTTACAAAATCATTTAACCTCTTCCTCACAAACTTAATTTTTTTTTCTATTACAACAGAATTCAAAATGATATTACTACCATTGCATTCTTTCTTTCTTGCATTTCATAAAACTCATTCCTGATCAAATATTCAATTAAGAAAAGTCCCTCCACTAATAATAAATGTTCACATGCATATGTACCAATATGTGAAAATGGCCCTCCAATGTTGCAGAGTTATCCTCCAGATCCTCTGACATGAGTAAGATCGTAATGACTATATTCATTCTGATGAAAACACTAACTGGATTCTGTTCTTATTTTACAATGTAGATTTTAGAGCTATGTTCAAAAGTTTATTCACAAGTCAGGAATTCAAAGATCATTCTAAATATTCAAAGACTTGTAAGGCAGCTTTCAAATAGTGTCAGTTGTTTTTTCTTGTTCACAGAAACTATTTTAACAATGTTTGAACAGTAATCACACTTTAAATGTCACTCATATGAAACATTTCTTTTAATCTGTATAATGTCCATTACTTAAACAAAAGTTGTTGTATTAAAAAAATAAATACATCATTTCATCATAATGGTCTGCTCCAATGATTGGAAGTAGCTGTAACATATGATGTTTTGGTGGTTTAAATGTATTGAATGCCTAGTGTACAAGACATAAGAGAAGTGTTACAGTAGAGTAAGTATGAAACATAAAATATACATCAACACTAATAACTTAATGTTGAAAAAGGAGCAGCGGTGTAACTCTACACCCCACCCTGTCACCAAAGGTGCATGTTTAATTTATCCACAATGTTGTTTTAAAAAAATGTGACTGATAATAACACTCTCTTGTAATTTTTTGTTTTGTTGAAGGTCCATGTACACTTTCTAATCAAAATGTCAGTGTTACTCTATGTTTATCTATTATTATGTTTAATTAATAAACAACTTTATGTTAGCCAGCTTGGAATAATGATTGTTAAATAAACATTTGTTCTGTTTCAGTCAACTGCAGTTCTTTTCATTGGCCACATGTTTCGACAGAACATTATCTGTCTTCTACCTGATGAAGAAAGACCAATGTTCTGTCAAAACATGCAGTATTCTCCACCATCAATAAAACTTTTCCTTATGCTTATAAATTGTTGTTTGCCTACCTATTATTATAAGACCATGACTAATTAAAAGAAAATGTTTCTGGTTATATTTGGATAACTAAATATGTTTCTAACATTGTTAGTGCATTTTGTTATTTTAAGTTTGAGGAGAATGCAACAGTTGCTTGAGGTTATGGAGTATCAAACATCAGTGTGGTGTAAAATTGCTAAAAATGTTGAACTCCGTAAAAAATAAGTATCAGTAGTGACTATGATAATCAAATTGCTAAGGCTTAAAGAAACTTAGATATCTGTTTCAAATTAAATCAGTAGGAAGTAACTTGGTTAAAAATTGCTTAAATTTACTCCATTTGAAAATTTACAAACAATTGTTTAATTTGTAAAATATTTCAATACAAGGTTACTTGTGTTTTTGAGAATGATTTTTGTCCAATTGCTAATATATGTATTTTGTCGATTTTAAATAATGTTTGACAAAAAGCCAACAGTTAAAATTATATTTAAACAACTTTTCAATTACGTAAACTGTTACTATATGCAGTTCAACAAAATACATTTCTCTCTTCTACATGTATCTACTATTCAAACATGTTTTAAACCTAATTTTATTCAAATAATTACAGTTAAAACAAAATTAGCTTAAAACTTGTTTGATTACTAACTTTCACCAAATAAAAAAAAAACTTTAATCGAAAAAAATACTATACTTCTTTCTAATCTTTCATACAGAATTATACAAAGCAAAAACAATTAAAGCTTAGAT